ACCAAAGAATATCTACGATACTGATTAGGAAATTGTTTCGAAGACAAATAGGGTTTTTTTTAGGGGAGCTACAGATTTGATGAATTAACATAACATTCAAATGCATTTCATGGCTTCCGAATCAGCTAACTATCAAGTGTTTTGACCCAGAATTGCAAAAGATATGAGGGATATAGAATTCCAGATATCCCCTTGTCACCCCTTGGCCAAATTCCAATCCGTGTTACAGGTTGTAATCTGAGAAACTTGGAGGTTTTTTGTTAGTACAATCAACAATTCTCACACTAAAAATACAAAAAAATACTCAAATCCAAGGTCTCAGCCACAGGCACAATATGCATATTTTTGTGTATTTTTGTCTCTCTCCAAGACTGCTCAATATCACTGTTTGTTGGTTTTTATATTTTCTGCCCAGAGGATATTATATTTTGTGTAGTATTATATGCATTGTGGTTTTAAAAATATGAAAAAATATGCCAGACAATTGGAACGCATCAAAGGGCCCTCCCATTATTTTTTCATATTTTTCTGACCCTTGCCAGCTTCTCTATAATTTCCTATGTCTACTCAATTTTCTAAACTCCACGGTAAATTTGCAATTTGGTGCAGTGTAAGTTTGATGGATCCAAAGGATCCAGAGCTGAGGTTCTCATGAATCAAATCAGACTTTATATCAAGATGAATGTGTCTCTCTTTGCCGACGAGCAATCTCAGGTAGCTTTTGCACTATCATACATGACTGGTAAAGCCAGCATCTGGAGTCAAGCTATCACAGATCAACTCCTCAACCCTGAATGCTGTCATCTTGTTAGTTGGGCCAAATTTATTCAATCTTTTGAAGCCACATTTTTTGACACTGAATGAGTATCCAAAGCTGAAAGAGAAATTAGAGAACTCAAACAAACCCGCTCTGTATCAGAATACTGGATAAAATTTTCGGAACTCTCCATTGTTGTCAAATGGCCGGAACATATTCTTATTTCTCAATTTGAACAAGGCCTGAAGAGAGAAATAGTGTTGTACATGATAAATGAGGAATTTGAAGAAGTTGAGAAGATGGCTCAGATGGCAATTAAACTTGACAACAAGATGCACAAACACCACAATGATTTAACAAGCATGCCTTTATTACCGGCTAGTTCTCATACTGGCACTGCTCCCGACCCCAACACAATGGACTGTTCAGCGTATCGTCTCAATGTTTCATCTGACAAGTACAACCGACGTGGCTCAACGGGAGCGTGCTACAGTTGTGGAAGTCTAGAGCACTTTATCGGGAGCTGTCCTAAGGTGAAGAAACGCAAGGGGTATGGAGGATTTAGGAATGGAGGCAATAGACGAAGTGAAATGAATA